ATGGACAACCTGCTGCAGAAAGTGTCATAAACAAACTGGATAATTAAATTTTCTGACTGCTGGCACTGCTTAATTGTTTTTCATGACATGGTTAATTCCTACCCTGGAATTAGCATGGGTTTCCTKGKGTAGGAAGAGTTGCTGGCAAAGAAAAATTAAGATTTTTACTTGCACCARCAGAAGGATTTTTCAGTTTTGAACACCAGCGGGGATTAATCTCACTAAGAACTGCAGAATTGACCCCAAAAATACACGAAGTAACTTCTCAGCCACTGAAATTGAAGTTCTTTAGCAGTAGAGTCAGTTCCTGTGTGATGTCAGCATTGGGTTTGTCACTGAGGTCACACTGGCAGGGGCTGCAGCCATCAGCTCCTGGGCTATCCTGACAGGTTTTGGCACCCCAGCAACGAGTTTGTGACTGCAGGCTCCATCATTATATTTGAATCAATATATTTTCTTGAATCAAATCTGATTTTGCAGTTCTAGAAAGCCAGTGCTGCCATCTTTACTCAATCCATCATGTTTTTATAACTGGTTATTGCAGACACTTTTTCCCAGGTGTTGTTGGAAGACATGATGTTTTCTGCTCAAAAATGTGCAATTGTGGAACAGGAAGAGCTGTTTTTGTGCTGTTTAAGGCCTGAAATTGGTCTGTTTTATACAGAAAATCCTTACAGGGGTAAGAGGCCAAAAGGACTAAGCAGGTACAGAAAACTTCAAATAGTTGTTTCATGCTTTTGTTAGGTTTTATAATTTGGCCAAAAGCTCATCCCATGACTTTGAGATTTTAAGATTGGCTCACAGGAAGGGGGGTCCAGGACCGAGGCAAACCATTGTGCCTCAAAAAGTCACTTTTATAAAAACATCAATGTTATCCATTAATTAAAGAGTGTCAAAGCAGATTTCAGAGTTGGTGACATTTCCATTTGTTATTTATTCCAGTCGAGGCCTGATGCCCAAATCTGAATCTGTCAGGATAATCTTCATTTGGACACGAGTCAGGGCTGTTTAATTCTTGTAYGTGCAAATCCTCCTTTCCTGTAATCGGGTTACGGGTGAATTGGGAGGAGTTTTTGTCTTTCCCACATTCAGGATATTTGTAATGACAGAAACTCTTTCTCTGTGGCTTTTCCCCACCTGTATCTCCTGGAGCCTTTTAAAGTGAACTGTTGTGTGTGAGTCACGGTGACATGGTGTGTCTTGGCTGGCAAAAGTGTGTTTTTAGAGCTCAACTCGTGCTTTTGAGGAATAAAAACAAAATAGATGCCAGGCCACGCTGGGCAGTGCTCTGAAGGTGTGCTGGAACTGGATGAGTTTAAATTCCCTTCCAACCCAACCCAATATGTGATTTTGTGATGCTGTGAAATCACTGAATTGTGTGTGTGGCTGAGCTTGCAGTTTATCAGGATTTCACCAAACTGCTGAAAGATGTTCTTTGTTACCCTCAAGTGTGAGGAGGCCAAAAGTGGCATTGCAGCCTTACAGGTGCTGAATCTGAAATTGAGATTCACCTATAATGGTGAATGCCTGAGACCTGGGAAAGAAGGGAATTTAACAGCCTGCATGGAGGAGGATGCTGCCATAAACAACACAACCTTGGCTGCCTCTGGGAAAGGGAGAATAGAATGTTGATCCCATAAAACAGATACCCAAAGACTCAAAACATGAACGACACTGCAGCTTTTGAAAACACACCAATCATGTGCTGATGAGTAGAAAAGCAGCTGCTTTACTACCAATGTGTGTTTGCCACAAATGAGRAAGATTTAGTGTACACTTGTTGCTAGATTTATGAAAGGGGCTCAGCACTATAATAAAGTTTAGTTGTAGTTGTTGTAGGAGTTGTTGTAGTTGTCTGTCTGTCTGTTATTTCGTGTCGCAGTCCATTCAAAAGCAACACTCAAGGGCAGAAATGATGGATCAGATTATTGGATCCATGAGCTGATCACTTGTGCTGCCATCTCTGTGAGAAGGCAGGAATTAGTGGGGYTTTCAGGAGTAAAAGAGATCCAGAGTAGATGAGAAATCAAACCAAGGAATGGGAGATTGATTGATTAATTGATTGATGAGAGAAAAACTGTTCAGTGGGTCCTGTTGATTCATCCCTTRCAGGTGAGAGAAAAATTGTTCAGTGGCTCCTGCATCTTCCACACTGGAGTGGCCACACTGCCCTTTCTRTGTTTATTAATTAATTAAAATTCTCCTTCCTCTTTTTTTCTGAAGTAATCTTCAGTGCAGAACCTTCTGGTGACAATCCCATCAGTCATTAACATTTCTTGGACTGTGAAAATCTGTTAGTTTGGTGTTTTAGAGCACAGTGAGCGCTGCCACTTGTGCATGGGRTGATGTACGGTCCTGGTGTCAGCCAGAAATGATAAAGAAATAAAAGATAGACTATTTTTAATATATATCATAAAAATGATTGTTTCTGAGGCTGTGGTAAAACATTTATTAAAACTTACAATTACAAACGAAATATTAAAGGGCTGACCAGTGCAGAATTACTATTTTAAACAGTTTCCAGGCCATAGCAATAATGTCCTCAATATTTAAATGTTTYAATTACATCAGGATCTGGCACAAGCTTGTTACTGGGTGGTAAAACATATTTATTAAAATTTACAATTACAAATGAAATATTAAAGGATTGACCAGTGCAGAATTATTCTAAACAATTTCCAAGCTCTATCAATAATCTCGTCAATATTTAAATATTTTAATTGCATCAGGATCTGGCACAAGCTTGTTACTGGGAATGGTTTTTGGTGGGTGCTGGCTAGTRGGGTGCTTGTGTGGGATTTTTTTCCAGGTGGGGAGGGGTTATATAGAATCCACTATTGATTTTTGTGGGTTTTAGCATCAGTTTTTGTGTGTTTGAGTGGGGCTCCAATCTTCCTCTGTTCTCCACAACCTTTTTTTTTTGGAAAATTCCTGAGATCACCAATGTGATCTCAATTGATCTTATCTGGTTTTGCCTTTTCTGTCTGGCTCCCCATCCTTGGACCTTCTCAGCCTTTCCCAGCACCTCCCTAAAACCAAGAGATTTATTTATCGCTGCCTCAGGGGTCATTCTCTGACCTGTTGAGCTTTTATTACAGGCACTGCAAAAGAAAAACCTTCCAATCTTTGCTTTCAGATCCCAAATTGAATTTGCAAAACAGGGAACTCTAAATATAAATATAAATTCTGTAAATGGAAGGGCAGAAGCTGCTGACCCCCGAAATCATGGCTGAGGGGATTTTTTTTAATTTGCCTTTCACTGTAATGGGCACGAGAGTTTAACATGGAAATGCAATATGATCTCTGCATGTAACTTATTCTCTGGTTTTCTTTCTCTGATCTGGCAGGAATATGTTTAAAGACTTTTACTAAACCACGCTAATTAATTTTATTCCAAACAAATGTTGTACAGAATTTCATGTCTTTTAAGAGTTCAGACTGTTAAAACATGGAGAAAATCCCATTTTTCCAGCRCTAGTGGTCAGTGCTGCTTTGCTAAAAACACTTTTACCTTTTTCCCTGTTCTTTATTAAGTCTCTTGATCTTTTATRGATTTGCAAGGATAAAAGCAGAGTGCTTCTTTTTGGACAGCGTTAGCTTTGCTCTGCTCTTTTGTGTTCAACACCAAACCTGTTTGGTCCAATGTTGGGACTGTTTTGAAATTGAAATGTTGTGTTCAAAGGAAACAATTACTGAACATAGCATTTATGTGTTCAATTCAGATATTTACAGTTAAATATCTTAAAATCTGCTGGGCTCTGTGTGATCCTTGCTTTTCCACCGTTGCTGAATACAGGCTCATTTGCTTCCTATAAAAAAAAATTGAATAAAATAAGAGAAAAGGAAATGTTTTGGACCATCAGGAATGTGCCTCAGTGCTCACACGCTTTCAAGTCAGCCTGTGCAGTTTGAAAGTTTAACCAAGAGCCATCTCCTTTGTAAAGAATGCAGATAATTTTTTTTTTTTCCTGGCAGGAAAAAAAAAAAAAGAGTAACCTGATATGAGTCTGACAGTGTCGTTTAGTTAAGTGCTTCCATCTGTTGCTCGCTATTTTCCTTACTCATGACCTCTCTTTCTCTCTCCCCCTCCTTCTCCTTTAGCCCCTCTGAGGAAAGCAAAGTTTGTTGAGAGCCCTCGAATCCCAGAATCTGAGCTTGGCTCCCCAACCCTGTCTGCCCAGAAGTTGGACGTTGATGCATTCTGCCCTGGTAAGCTGCATGCAAAGGCTCTGTCAGATCAAAAAWATATATATWTWTTTTTTWAAATCTGGTTCCTTTGGCTGGATGGTTGGTTGGATCTTCCCCAGCCAAGTTGCATTGTCTTGGAAACTTCAATAAGAATTAATTTCTGATAATTGCCCATTTACCTTTGCTTTTTGCAATTTTGCGTGTGGCAAGCTCTCCTCTCAGAATAATTTAGAAGGTCTGGAGAGTTGTTTTTGGGAAGTTAAAAAYGAGCCAATAAACATCCAGCTTTAAATTTAATTTTTAATGCTGGTCTGCGAGAGGCTGGAACAAAACAACATTTCAGTGATCCTCAAACCAGCTAAAAAGCAAAACTGTGGGACCTCATTATCAAAAAACATTGTGATTTTTTACTTTAAATTTTATTTTTAAAGGAATACCTTCTAATYTATGTATCTGAAATGTTGCTTGAGGCCTCTGGTTGAAACATAAATAGAAGTGGGTCATGTCCCCTCCTGGCTCAGCCCCGTTTTGTTTCTGTCAGCTYGGGCAGGCGTTGTCTGAATCCCCCCAAGCCCCACTCACGTGTGAATTCCTGCAATCTGCAGCTCTCCACCATTCCCCAAATTCTTCCAAACTTGGAATTACCAAACCTGGGGAGGGCTGGAGGCTGTGGAGGYACTGGGAGAAGGCTGAAAGCAGCATTTGGGTGGATTTTGTGCTGAATTCTAAATTGTAGTTTATTGTAGTTTATTCCCCTGGCTTTTGTTGAATATGAATATGAATTTTGTTGAATATGAATCAAAGGGATCCACATTCATTAGAGGTTTTGGATGGGGTCAGGGGTGTTTGAGGTGTTGGAATGGTGTTCAAATGTGTGACTTCTGCATCTGAAATCTGTACTTCCAGCAGCCAAGGTCGTATTAGTGACTGTGAAATCAGGGTGCTGTTTATTTCTGGGGCTGATGCACTTGCAACAAAACTTGTAGAATACTCAGAATTGGAGGATTTCATTGAATTTTGTCCAAATTTTGAATGTGGGCTTTCTTGAATGTGTTGTGTCTGAAAGAGAAGCTGTCCTAGAAAATCAAAAGATTATTCCTTTGCTGGGCAATCCTCACTTAAGGCCACAGTTGCTTTGAAAAATGCTGCTCTTTTTCTGATCATCATGAATTGCAATTAAAATTGTGCTGCTGCAGCCCTTTTTTCTAACTGAATGGCTTCTAATGTCATGTTTGTAACTGTTAATACTTACCAAGTTATTATGATTGCATCCACGGAGAATTATAATTGAATTGTAATCTTAAAAACCCATAAATTCCACATTTCCCACACCTGGTCACGTGTTTCCCTCGTGCCAGGACCTCCTGTCAAGGCCAGGGAGGGCCTCTAATAACAGGATCTGCAATTTCTTTAATTTCTTTTATTTTTGTGCTGTTTGTTCTCCTTCTCTTGTTG